GACCCAAGCTTGTATCATATTTGCATGCTATTCTTCGTGCTGCAAATATAGTGGCATACTCAAAAGATTATGAGGTAAAAGCTCGAAGAAATTGAATACTAGAAACAAATATATGAAAAAGAATAAAGTCAGGACCGAATATCTAGAACTTGGCAGTAATAGACAATATAGATTTTAAAGAAAAGATATTTAGAGCTGGTAATATTTATAATAATATACGAGATACCGCTCATGCTACCTTACATATAGTTTTTCAGTTTGAAATACCTAATATTGAAATACTACCTTCAATTTCCAATATTTCTGCTAATAATCTGTGTGGAAACAACTAATTTACAGAGCAGTAGATGAGAAAGCTTACCCAGATCTTCAATCAGCTAATAGTAAAATACCCAATGAAATTTGCAATAAGTGAAATAAATTCTGCACTTAAAGAAGCAGTAGGAAAGGGATATAAAGTTCCTCCACTAAATGTTGTTATTTTGGAGGCTGGACCAGCACCAAACACCAATCTTGTAACATATAAAGCCTGTGAAATGTATATAGAGGACTTAGAATTAAATCAAGGAGAATCTTTGGACATTGCTTGTAATGAAGCCATTTTTCGAAGACTTACAGATTTTTCTAATAATCAGCTAAAATTAAATCCTATTCTTGGTCAGTGGTATACTAGTAAAGATATATGCAGTGCTCTAATATCTGCCTTCTCTGGATATAGGTTATTTGGATTAGCATCTACACTTGGCAAAAAGTATCTGGAAAAGCTTCAGGATGTTGTCAATTACAAAGCAATATTTCACATTTTTGAGCATATCTGAGCAGCTGTAGCAATTGTTATTCATATATATATGGATAAACATCATATAACATTAGTAGATATTGAAAATAAAAATAATAATATTTTGAAAGTTTGGACCTTACATTACAAATGTGAAAGTTGGCTTAAGCTTCATAAAATTGGTATTTGGATGGGTAATTTTGAGGTTCAACATGAACACCTGAAAGCTTTTGCACCATTATTTCTTATTATGGGAAAAAGCAGATATGCAGTATCAGTGCCATGTTTTTTAATGATAGTAGAAACAAACCCAACTCTAAAAACAAAACTTCAGGCAGCTAGGTCTATAAATCTCACAACAGATAAGCATTTTTTTGTGTATGATGAAGCACTGGAGTACTTCAGTGTAAAATTTGTTAAACAAAACATGACTAGGCATCCAACAGATTTTGATAACTTAAAAATAGTAATTAAAGCAGCTCAAAATAAAAGGGATCAGTTGTTAGCATTATATGCGGAATTTGTAACTGATAATTGTATAAGTAAAACCACAAATGCAGAGATTGATCACAAAAAAGCATTATGGAAGCTAGTAAATACACTCTCTGAAGCTATTGAATGCAATGAACCCAAAAAACATCTGCTTTTTGAGATTTTTGATTAATTAACATCTGATGGATATGAGTATATATTTACCTGTTATAATAAAGGAATAATTAGAATCTAGACATTATTAAACAAGATATTTTGAAAGTGGAAAAATGCATTGCAAAAGAATGAACAAAAAAAGATTTGGAACTCTTGCTTCTTGAAAAAAAAGTCTCCCAAAGTAAAAAAAAAAGTGAAGTATAGAAGATATATCATCATAGGCAACTGATAATAACATCTAGCAAAGGGTTTTTGTAGTGATAGTTTGTTGCAAGCATGACTTCTACTGCATTTTCAAATTATTAACCTAGTTTTACTGATCCTGAAGAAACGCTTATAAAATATTATAATAAAATGAATTAGTTTAAAAAATTTCTATTTTTAATAGCTAATAGATATTATCAATTTATGATAAAGAGAATAAATTATAGTGGCAGGTAGATCAAAAAAGAATAAAGCTTAGTTATATTTGTAAATCTTACCTCTTTATATATAATTCTTTTTATATATATTTTTTTTTGAATTTTTAAAGTAGCCCTAGTAAAATATATATCTTTTTAAAGTTCCTGGCTGTTATAATCTTCTTAGCCAGTTTTTATTTGCTCAATCCACGTATTTGAAAATAATCCTGAAAAAGAAGTAAAATTCGTTACTACTTTTGAAATGTCACTTATTTAACAAAATATCATTCAAAAAAAAAATAAATAAACTATAATTTTATAATATAGAAGGTGTAAACCAATTTTTTTTAAAAAATATATATATATTTACTAACAAAAAGATCCAATTTTTGTATAAAAATAGTTGTTAATTATAATAATATAATTTTAGAAATTTATAGTAGATCAATTTTGTATAACATGTCGGCCGACTGATAAGTTCATAAGAAGTGCAATTTGGGCTATTAATATAACAGTAAGTGATTTAGAGTATTTGGCATTTTGATTGGTCTATGAGCATGATACTATAATACTAATTCAACTAATCTTAGAAAGCTATCAAGTATATATTGCAAGAGAAGAATAGACAATAAATAAATTGCTAGAGTATTAAACCAAGCAAATTAAAGAGATAGTAGAGAATTTAAGAAATGCACAGTATGAGAAAGATGAATTAAGATAGCAATAAAAAGAAATATATAATAAAAAAGCAAAAGCAAAGAAAACTTACTAAATAGAAGATTTGGTTCTGATATATGATTTGATATTGGTAACAATATTTTAAAAGTTAGATTACTAATAGATAAGACCTTATAAGATTCAGAACATTAAAAGATATAGACAGATATATTTAAATGAATTAGATAGCAGTAAATTAAAAGACTTTATAACAAGAAATAGAGTAAAGAAACTATTTATCTGGAAAGATGAATATTCAAATCAGACTAGAGAATATTTGAACAAAAATAATATAGTTCTTGAGAACAAGGACTAGTAAGATCCAGCTTATATCGCATAGTTTGTAAAGAGCCTATGTATCTAATAAAAGATATGTAAATAGATAACAAAATATTTAGTAAATTAAAGGATAAAAAGAAGAAATGAAAATATAAATTGAATAACTTACATGATTATGTGGTTGATTAGAGTTGTGGTGGGAAATTAAAATGTTAGGATATTAGTGAGATCGGGTACAATAGATACCATGGTTGATCGAGAAGAGATCAAATTATAGATCCCGAAAGAGAAATTAAGTAATTAAATATTAGTATAAGGATTGGTAATATAAAATAGTATATTAAAATATGCATATAAGAAATAAGTAATAAATTTAAGAGTTAAGAGATTATATGATAGTATGATCAAATTATGATATAATAATTTGTAGTTAAAATATATATTAATAAACAATGCGAAGAATATAAAAGTTAGTCAAAGAGAGATATATAGTTGGTTTGAGAGTTGGTTAAATTGTAGATTAGTTAGTAGTTTGTATTTTAATAAAAGTTAGTCAATTTAACAATAAAGTAGATATTTGTATATGTAGTTGATATGTTTGAAAGTATAAAGTATGTCTCAAGTGCCTAGTAAAATCTAAAATAAATACAAAGCTATCTGAGGTAGATAGCAGTCACTTTGGTAATTGCTTAACTATGTAATACTTAGTGATTATTTAATTCTTTCTTTTTTAGTAAACCTCTTTGCCTTTATACTAATATTAGCTATAGAATCTTTGATTATAAATCAATCTCTGCTGATTAATAAACCCAATTCTCTGACTTTACTTAACAGCTTTTTTTCTAATAACATGTTTCCTCACACATCTATATATCTAAAAATATATATACAATACTACATTTTACAAGCTACTATTTAAACAATTTTCAATAAAATAACAAACGTAGTTACAATCACAAATATAGCCCACAATATACTATACTTCACATTGGTCTTAAAAAACTAAACTATTTGATTAAAACTATTAACAACAATTTCAATTTATCTAACTTATACTTATTCTATATTAATTTTAATATTCTAATTATCAATATATATGCAAACTGCAACCTTCAATCTCTTACTTTTTTTAATCACATCTCTACTCAAACATAGCTACAACATGCTTATGATATTTGAAACCAAATATTTCAGGCTTACTATTTTGAATACTCTCTTCACTTTTGACATCAAATCAATGAGGTTTTAGAAAAAAGATATAAAACATTAACTTCTCTAATATCAAATTACCAAATCAGCTAATCACTAACTCTACTTAAATAAAACAATATATAATTTTACTTTTTTAATTAGACAACCTATAAACCAATTAATCAACTACTTTTTGATAATTTCTAGAAGCAATACTATCTTCCTCTTTTTCATATTAATCCAAACTAGTATATTTCACTTACTCAATCTATTACTCTTGATAAAACTCTTTAAACTATTTTCTAACTCTCTAATAACAAGGTCTGTAGCCCTACTGGTATTAGTTATGAAATATTAAAGCATCTTAACTACTCTTGTATCTCTTCTTTAACTGCTCTCTTCAATCACTGCCTATCTAATAACTATTTTCTAAAGCAATAAAAAAAAAGAAGAATCTCTATTTCTAATAACATATTTAATAGCAACTTCAATCTTACCTAACCAATTAGTCTTATTAAATATACCTGCAAAATCTATACCAAAATCTTTACTAATAGACTTAGTAAAGACTTTACACAACACCTTATTCTATCTTATATTGCACTATCTGGTAATTGTATATCTACTCCAATTCATATTCTAAACAACCTAATTAAAGACACAAACTACAATTACCAAGAAATATAAGTCCTTTCTCAAAATATAAATAAGGTATACAACTTAGTAAACTTTACCTTTTTTCAATACTCACTCTCTTAACTTGTTCTTTCTCTTTCTATTATCAATATTCTTACTAATTTACTGATTGACCGCTACAATAAAATAATTACCAACTTTGGTTTAACACCATTATACCAAGTTCTTAATAGTATTGATCAAGATAAAACTATTACTTCTCTTCTTTGCTATATATATTATAACCCATTTATATCTTATATATACTCTTTATTTTCTGTTTATATTACTAAAGCCTCTTGGCTTACTAATCTTAAATACTTTACTACCAACTATATAGAAGCCAACTGCTTAATATTATGATATGCAATTTTTAGATCTAACTTTTACTTACATAAAAGAGTACTTATGTTTTTTTTACATTTTTTTCTTTTTTTAATAAGTTCTCCCTCTTAAAATTGTTTGTAAATATTACTTACTCTTTAAAAACATCTATAGCAACTCTTAAGATTGATTGAAAGCTATACTCTCACTATTGCTTTTTTCTATTTTGTCTAGTTTATTTAGAATCTCTTCTAATAGACATCTCTAACTACTGTCATATAGAAGCCTTCTTGCTATATCTAACTGGGTTTCTTCTTCATAAGTTGGCTTGGCTACACTATAGGATATAGTTAAACATTTTTCTTTTATTGTCTTCTTTTTGACCATGTTTCTTTTTGCTACTGCTATATTGTTTGCTTTATTATTCTCTTTATTTAAGTAATAATTTGCTGCTTGCTTTAATTTTTTCTTTCTTGGGCTAGATTTTGATTTTTCTATTTTTACTATATTATCCAACTTTTCTGTCTATTCCAATTTTGTATTATAATAGTATTCTTTTGTTTAAAGTACTATTAAGCAGTCTTCTTCTAATACAAAGTAAATACTTGCTAAGCCTTTTTGGTTTCTGTTTTTATTAATAGAGATATATATTGCTTTTGCTTGGATATTTTTTAACTATTTTAATACCACTATCTCAGTAGCTAACAATAGTAAAATTTTAATTACTGTTTTGTAATAACTTCACTCTTTTAAGATTTCTAAATTAAATATATCTTGGCTTAGCCTTAGCATTTTCTCTTTTTCT